TATGCCAAGGGTAGTTGGCGTAGATGAGAGATGATGTTCTCCCAGGAATGCATTCAGGGAAGGACGCGTCTGAGCGTTCTCTATGAGCACATGGGCATCAACGGCCTAGATGATGAGACGGAATAATACCACGGCCTAATAAGAAATTCCCATACTTACAAGATGCGAATGACACGACACACGGAAGTCTATGCGTCCCCCTTTCCAGGGACGATGTGTAAGTCTCAAGGCTTGGCCGAGGCTGTTCAGGGGTCGTCGGGTCCGCCACAGTGTCCCTTTGGCGGGTTGCATGCCGCACTCTGGGAAGGCTTATTTGCATTTTGTGAGGTGTTGGAAATTTTCCCGTCTCGTCACGGGTGTGCCTGCTTGGCAAAGGGTGTTTGTCCAGTCCACAAACCAAGACAATCCATTGCATACAAGCGCGTCAGGTGAGGTTCGTGTAAGTCGGCTGTAAGTCAGTGTAAGCGTATAAGGTGAAGCTCTCTGGCGCAGGAGGGAAGGAAGGAGGTCGAAGAGAAAGAGTGTGAGACGAGACGGAGAAATTCGTGATTGGCTGGGGGGAGGGGGTTTCTTCTTCTTGAGTCTTGGCTTCGAAGGAGGGGGGTTGAGGGGGACTGCTGCGGCCTGCACCTTGCTCCTGAGGTGCAGGTGCAGATTGCAGATTGCGACGAAGAAGCCACCGGCCCCACCACCGCGGACGTTCGCGGGGCTTGGGTGCGGGGGGCAGGGCCGATGTAAGCCCCGAAGGTGGTTTTTTTTATTGAGACATGTGGAACAACAAGATGCGTTCAAGCTCCTGGGTGCATGGTAGGATGAAGGGGATATTTTGAGCGTGCTGATTGACTGTCAACAGTTCCGTCCTACACGGGGGAACTGGGGAGCGGGCAGATGGATACGGGTGTGATATGGGGGCTGTCTGATAGGCAAGGTAGGTGGTGGAGTGAGAGAAAATGCAGCCTTCGGCACTGCTGATGAGACGATCTGAAGTCGACAGGAAAGCACCGCCGATGACCATTCCAATATCAGCGCCAAAGCATGCTGAGGTTAGGTGGGCAGGTGTATGTAAGTGTCGGCCTGTGGGTTTAAGCTTCGTGGGGCGGTCCGGGCATCCGCGTCTGAAGCTTCAACCCACCCCGGGGATTGGGGTCTTCTGCTGACACAAGCAATCAGTGTCTATTTGACGTGAATAATAACCTGAAATTAACTTGGCTTTCAGTTATGTAAATTGCCGGCGAAGATATCCTATCCTGCGAAGCAACAGGCCCAGGTGGAGCAGAGGTACCCCGTCCCCAAACATAAGCAAGGTCCCACGATAGGTACACAGGTAAGGTAGCTCGGGGAGCTTAGCTTCTGCATGGGCCACCCTCAATGCACACTCACTGCACCTCCTCCACCCGACTCCGTCCCAGCGCGCCGCCGCGCCTTCTTCAACCGACAAACCCGCACGCATCCATCTCATCCTCTTTGCTGTGTTAGCCGGCCGCCGCCACGCCCCCTGCCGCCCGTACCTTACGCAGTAGCAATTGGGGATGATCCGAGAGCCTCTTTCTGCTGCACACTCCCCTCCTCCCCGCTAGAGACCTCTCCCGCCGCCTGTTTCCGCCTCCCTAGAGTCTTTTTTAAAAGGAAAGACATGCCCCCCGTCTCCCCGGCCTTCACACTCCGCCATACCTGTATCCATCGGCTTCGGAACATCAACGGAACCCCGCTACGAACCTCCGCTTCCGGCTTCGGCTACCACCTCTTCTCGACGACAACGACGACCAGGACAGAACCAACCGGCGACAACAAACAAAAGACGACCTCTTTCCTACCGCCTGCCTTTCGCCGGATAGGAACGCCCTTGAGGAGTCCGAAGACGTTTTCTACACACAGACAGCTCGACGGAACGAAGATCAAAATGGCGGACCGGGTTCATCGCGTCACCATGTTCAAGATTGCCGACGAGGGGCAGAAGAAGCAGTTGATTGAGCAGTACAAGAAGCTCGGAGACTCCCAGAAGAAGGTAGCTTGGCTTGCATTCTGACGTCCTTCCATTGGCCTTCTCACACAACCTCTCTCTCTCTCTCTCTCTCTGGGCAAGATATTGGGCATTAGAATTCAAGCAAAACACGATAGATTGGGACCGAAACAGACGAAGCAGGCAATTAGAAACTGACTCACGATGCTAACAAATAACACCCAGGACGGCAAGCCGTACATCCTCTCCATGGTCGTCGGCCCCGCCATTGACGACCCCCGCGCCCAGGGCTTCACCATTGTCGCCAAGACCGAGTTCGCCTCCCTCGAGGACATGAAGTATTACGACGACGAGTGCGCCGCCCACGGCGCCCTCAAGTCCTTCGTCAAGGAGAACCTCACCGTCGGCGGCGTCATGTCGGTTTACTTCAAGCCCGAGGCTGTTGCCTCGTTGTAAAGGGGGACCAATTAGTTGCATCGTGGAGGTGTAGGTCACGCAGATGGACTGACTGCTTTCACTGCGAGAACGCCCCAGTTTCGGGGGGACATAATCAGGAAAGTGGCTCACAACACACCTGTAACCTCTTGTTCATACATGTCAAAAGAACTCCTTGTTGCCGGTTATGGACAGGTATCAAGCTACTAGCATACATAGAAACACGCACCTTCAGATCCGATTCTCCACTCTCTCCTCCAACAGGTATAATTTTTGTCCACCTCATTTTCATATGTGCGAGCCATCAAAATTCCCAAAGCAAAGCCAGTCGCAACGTTCGTCTCCCAAAGATCAGGTATCACCACGCTTCACGAGGCAGCGGTAGCAGCGGCGGCGGCAGCAGAAGCGGGGGCAGCAGCGGCATCAGTCGCGCCGTCGGTGTTGTTGGCGGCGGCCACGTTCCCCCCAGCCTCGACGAACCGCTTCAGCCCGTCCATCCACGCCGCAAAGGCGGACTCGAGCTGCCCGACCATGGTGAGCTTGATGACGTGCGCCAGCGGACCGAAGAAGGTCTCGTACTGGCGGTACTCGGTGCCGGTGCCGTCCTCGCTCTCGAGGAACTCGTGCACGCGCTCCGCCTTGAACAGGAACGTCGGCGGAGTGTACCCCGTCGTCTTCCACACCACGCGGTACCCCTTGCGGCCCTTGTGCTCCTCTCCGGCCGATGAGGTCGTCACTTTGTGGAAGTCCTCGATCTTGGTGATGATGCACGGCGAGTTGGACGTCACGCGCGCCGGGTCCAGCGTCAGGTGCACCTCGAACGCGACCTGGGCGCCCTGGAGCATGAGGTCGGCCGGGTTGTGCTTGGCAACGGTGGACTCGGCGAGCAGGGGCGGAACCGGTCCCGTGGCGGGCTTGGTGACGGTGACCTTGGGGAACATGGGGTTCCAGGAGGGGTAGGTGGACGGGTCGATGAAGGTGGCGAGGACGGCCAGGGGCGGTTTGGCGATCGGGGTTGCGTAGGCGATTGTGAAGACGGCGCCCTCGTGGCCGATGCTGGGCGTGGGCAGCGTCGGGGAGACGACGGTGGGTGCGAGCGAGGCGGGGATGGAGTCCGCGCCGTGCTCGAGGTGCGTCGGCGGCTTCGGCTTGAAGGTTGAGGGGAGCTGTTTGATGTTTTCCGGGATCTGGGCCTGGATCTTCGAGCGGAGGGCTTCCATTGTGACGGTGGTGGTTTGACTGAACGTGCTGGTGGTTAATTATGAACTGGTATCTGATGAGGGGGTATCTCTGAGTTGTTGTTGGATGGAAGAAACAATCGAGGCAGGAAATAAGAGCTATTGGGGTTTGTAGAAGGATGGGAGGAAAGAGTGTAATAGAAACTGATTCAGGGATTTGTAGCAGATGGACGGAATCGGGGTGCGGGCAGGTCAGTTAGAGATGGGATGTCACAGCCTTTTCCGCCATAAGAGATTGTCCAATAGCACGGCCGTCTTGTCAAGAATACACTTCTCACGTCAGCTCATTTATTCTACATCAGGCAACATGAGCCGTTCCGGGACTTTGGTCCTCTAGCGGCCAATGTTCAAACCAGCCCCACAGCATCAGATTTGCCGAAGGATTTTGACCAGGCGAATTGGCGACGTATTTCGACTGACGGGAGATATTTCTCGAGTGACCTCGACGCAGTCTCAGTAGAAAGGCGCCACACACTCTGGAAGCCTGGATCACCGACACGATCTGGGTTTTGGCGGAGAATCTGTGACGAAAGCAGGCAGTTGGGCTTTAGACTTTGGGGTCTCGTGAGGAGATGGTGAGGGGATTGGGCGTCATGGGATGGAGAAGCTGAGATACGGTGTTGGCCCGGGCACTCGAGAGGGCCAGACGGCGAGGCGAACGAGATGAGGAGGCGATGTAAGAAAGAGAGTGCCGCGGTCCCGGCTGAGCGTTCGGAACCTTTGGAATACACGCCTTGTCCCGGCATTTGTGTCATCGTAGAAGTCGGCCGAGAAGCCCATGACCGTCCCCACTCGCCGCTCGCCTCAAGACAAGCGAGTTTCTTCCGGCATCGAATCATCCATGTCCACGAAGCGACGTCTTGCGCAATGCCCTCGTGTCTAGCGCCTTCGCTAGCATGTGGACTCTTGAACCCCCCCGGCAAATGAGGTGTAGAACATAGGTATCGATCTCGACGGGAGAGCCAAGCATGCTTCGCCGATATGCTGCTTGGGTTATCCCTGTTGCCAAAAACGCTCCGAAGCGAATCGCCGTCCAGGTGGATGTGTAAATGTGACAAACGCGGGAAAACTCCTAGATATCTTCATGTAAACCCTGAAGGCTTCTCTGTTTAGCATTGTTCCTCTACATGCAGCACTGTCGCTCTAAAAGATGAAATGATACACCAGCATGAGTGATGCAAAGATCACCACCAAGCCCCAGCATCATAAACGAGCTTGGACCCTCTGCTCTTCCTGTGCCGTCTAAAACCTACCGGACGCAACCCAGGGTATCGTGACCTCTTGACACTTGCCCTCGCCAACGCCCAAAAACTCCGGCCAAATGACTATAATTCGATGGGTCCCCACAGAGTCGAGCTCCGCCGAGATTAGGCGCTGGCTGTCACCTGCTTGTGGATCTGCAAGCAGCGGCCAAAGTCCAGCTTTTTACCGTCCTCAGGCATATGCGTTCCGCTTGCGATGCAGAGAACGCGCATACGTGGGTCGTAGCGCAATCCTGTGAGAAGCTTCGGTGTGATGAGGAAGTATTGTGATGTGTGCTCGCGACACGCAATCTCAACCATGCGCTCGTGTACCATGCGCTCGTTGCGAGGGTCCATACCCTGATTGATCTCATCCACAACACGGAACGGAGACTGCGCCATAGACTGGAGGGCCATGAGGTAGAAAATGGTAGACACGGCACGCTCTCCTCCAGATTGACGATGCTGGTTGAGCTGTTGGAGCGTCTCGTTTTCTCTGCTTGCTGTCAGCTGTTCCGTTATATTTGAACGCAGGCTAAGAAAACATACCTGAACTTGACCATGATATCCAAGGCCCACTGATCAAAGTCCTCATCTTTATGAACCCGAACCTCGCCGGCGCAGTTGATTTGTTCAAAGTTGTAGCTGAACGCGTCGTTGATCTTGCTGATAAGTTCGTCGAGCTTTGGCTCCCACTTGTCGCGGATCCGCGATATCCTGCGGTTCAGCTCATCCAGCTTGTTCGTCGAGCTCTCCATTCTCTGGCGCAGCTTCTCAATTTCCCGAGCGCGCTTCTCGAATTCGCGCAGGGCGCCGGGGTTGGTGACATGTATGAGCTCGAGTTTGCCTTCTTCGGCGGCGATCTCGTTGTCGACGTCCTCGACAGTTTTTTCCTTGGCCAGCTCTTCAAGGAGCTCTCTCCTGCTTGGATCGTCATGGAATAGGTCAGCCACTTTGCTTCTGGCTGCTTCAGCGCGGGCTCTGCATCGCGCAGACTCTTCCGCGATGGCACCGATATGTCGCTTCTCCTCTTCCAGTTGCTGCATCAGGTCGGTGTTCCTAGCCTTAAGACCCGTAACATCAGACTTGGCCTCGATCTCCCGAATCTGAGCCTCTAGCACTTCTTCCTGGGCATCCCGAATGGCGGCGATAGCCGCATGATGGCGGAGGACAGCTTTGAGCTTTTCCACTGTAGCGTTGTCTCTGTCGACATCCAGCTTGGAATTGGCTGACCTCGCCTCTTCGACCTCTGCCCTCTTCTGTTCCAGTGACTTCTTTTCAGACTCTGCAAATATGCGTCAGTGGTGGAAACTACTTCAGTACCATATAGGCTCCTTACCAAGTTTGATGGGGATAGCTTGATAGGCATTGTGTGCTTTCTGCAGTTCATTCTTTCGATCTCTGAGTAATTTCTGACGCCTTGTTAACTTTTGCTCCGTAGATCTCCTTCATCAGACTTACGAGATCTTCCTGGGTCTCCTTTTTCCTCTCGTTTATCGCGGTAAGCTGTTCCTTGAGTTCCGTATTCTGCGTCTTCAGCTCCCCGAATTCCGCCTCGACTTCCCTCAAACGGCGCAGGATGTCATTCTTCTCAGCCTCATCAATAGGTTGATCCGTCCAGAACACGCCTTTGGAGATGCCTCGGGTCATTGTGGAGACCGCCTGGGGGCCAAGATCCCTGCGCCGAGACACTCTGTATAGATGCCGGCCAGCTGACCAACTGTTTATAACAGCATCTTGAACCAGACGCTCGTACTGAGCATCGTTGATTTCCCCCGCTGCAATGCCAGATACGTCCAACTTCTTTTCATTACAAAGCATCGCAAGAACTGGCTCCGGACCCGACAGCATCTCGATTGCGAAACCATCGAAACCGAAAGATCTGACCTGTTCCCGAGACATTCTAGGTTTAAAATCATCCAGGGGCTTCAAGATGGAGCGCGTGTTAACGGAGAGACTGAGTTGCTTGTAGAAGACATCACTAAGCTTCTTGTGGTCCTCTCTGGTTTGCGCGGTGAAACAAAGGAAGTCGTCCATGTGCAAGAGTGCCTGGACCTGGTCCGAATACCGCTCGTCTTTGACGGAGCAGCACAAAGCAGGTGGTCCAAAGACTTCTTTTTCAAATTGATCGCCGTTCTCTTGCAGCCAGGCCCAGCCCTTGGCAACGTCAGGAAACTTCTTCTGCAGAAAGTTGAGAAGCTGTCCCTGCTGGGAATCGAGGTTCTCGAGATCTTGTTTGAGCTTGTTTCTGATGTGGCTCTTTGCTTGGCCCTGTTCTTTGATATCTCTCAGTTTTCCGTCGATTTGACGCGTCTCGGCCTCCATTTCGCGAAGCTGATGCTCTTTTTCTCGCTGCGTTCAAGTTAGCTTTAGCCTCCAGGATCATGGTTCAGAACCAGGATTTGAACGTACAATTTGGGTGTTGTGTTCTTGCGGGTTGAACTCCGCGGGCTTGTTCTTCTGCTGGTTTTCCAGTACACCAATCCTGTTGCGAATCTTGCCCAGTTCCTGCCTCTTGGCATCATATCCCCGCTTGTTGGTCTCCAAATTGGCGGTAATCGATCTTATTTTCTCATCGGCGTCCTCGACCCGATTGAGCAATGTGTCTGCCTCAGCTTCTGCACGCCGCACCATACCCTTGCGGGAATGAACGGCTGCGGAGACCTTCTCGAGGTAAACCTGCTTCTGATTCACAGCTTGCAGAGACGGAGCTGCCTCGTCTTCCAACCTTCTCAAATTCCTCTTCGCCTCCTTTTCCTCGGCTTTCTTCGCTTGGTAAAGTGACCTTGCCTCGAGGTAGTCGGCGACATGCCGGGCGTCTTTCAGGTCGGCAATGCGCTGTTGGGCCTCCTGCTGCTCGCGAAGCTTGTCAACATCGTTTTGCATATCATGCTGTCTGTCCTCGAGACTTTTGAGATGCTCGGCGTGATTTGCCGAGCCGCGCTGGATTTCCTTGTGTTCTTTGTGCAGCTCCTGCAGTTGTTTCTGCCAGTCGAGCATTTCCTCTGGCGCCGCCGCGCGCAGAGTCTCGTGTAGTAAGTCAATGGGGGTGGCAGATGCGAATTCGACAACGCGATCCTGAGGCAGAAACTGACAGAGGTTGTCGACCTGGATCTTAAGGTCCCTCATAAGATGCTGGATGGTCTTATGTGTGGCTTCTTTGCCATTCAGCCACCACTTCTGGCTGTTCCTCTCGCGATCGATCTGAACTTTGATAACAGGGTTTCGTCTATCCTCCGGTCGGCCTTGTAGCTCGATCTCGATGGTGGCTGACGGCTTTCCGTGCTTGACAAACTCCTTGACGTTGCCAGCTCTGCCAAGATGCTTAGGACTGAATCCCAGACCCAAGCAGATGGCGCAGACGAGCGAGCTCTTTCCCGTTCCGTTCGGTCCAATAACCATATTGAGGTTCGGGCCAGGGAAAAATTCTGCCATCTCGTACGTCACGAAGTTCTTGACTGTAACGCGGCGGATAGCGCCAGCCTGAAATCCGTCCAAGTCAGGCTGGACCTTGACACCGTTGACGCCGTTTGTTCTGGGTCTCCTCTGCACATCTTCATCGTCATCGTCGGAATCGTCAGCCCGCCGGCTCAGGCGGGGGCGTTTGGGTGCATCGGAGGCATCGGACGCAGAATCGCTCTCGTCTTCCGGTTCGCGTCGGCGGCGACGGCTCGCCGGGAAGGACGACATAACGACCAGGTCGGTTGTAAATGCGAATTACAACCAATTTTTCTTTTCGCGTGGTTCAGATCGGGCTGGTGACAGATGTGGTCGATTTGGGCATAACTTTGGCAGGTAGCGCGCAATGAGGCAGTTGGTGAAGTTGAGTGCGACGCGAGACCTAATTTAGACGCGTCTCTGTCCACCCCGCGTGCCCCTTGCAAGCCTCAAGGGTGCGCCAAGTTTGATGGAGGGTATCCCAGCAGATTATGTAAGTGAGATCGGAGTCAGTGCGGCGTGCAGACGCTGAATTGAGATGCAGCTGTGCGTCAACCGAAGTGGGGGCTGCTATGGAGCTCTGGTGGGGCTTATGCCGCACGGATTTTGGTCGGGTGTGGCTTGGGCAAGGCAGTTTGGCCCAACTGCAACTGCGACTTCATCCCTCGCGAGTCGACCGTTGATCTGTCATCCGATGTGTTTGACTTTGCCCTGTCCCTCGATCTCTGCTAAGAGCGCCCTTGTGATTGTCTCTGCCTCGTAGTCTTGCTGACCAGGTGGCTCATCATGTCTTTCTCGGACTTTATTTTAAGGTACCTCAGCCCTTGACAGGCGAAGAAAGAGCTGCCCACCGTCTCAATAAGAAAGGAAGGCTGAGTCGACGATGACCACCAGGAATTCACTAATCGACACAGTCTGCCCCTCTTTCTACCTCCTTCTTTTTCCATCTATCGTAGAAAAAATATCTTCAAGGACCGCGCTATCCGCGCTCGGGCAGGCAAGATTAGGTCAGAAGCAGCCGCAGTGACGTCGAGGTCGTCCTCTACCTCATGCCTGGGGAATTTTGGACCAAGGTCACGCAGCACCCAACTGGCTCGCTCTTTTCACCAGGCAAGAAGTCAGCCCGGATCAGGCTGTTGGCTGCATTCTAGAGCTTGGACCTCATTCCAGACGGTCTTGCCTGTCGAGTCGTGAAACCCAGTGAGACCTCTGCCGTTGGCTGTATTTGTGCTTTCAACGGGGTCGCTAGTGGGAAGGGGGCAACGTCCGTCCATCAACCTCCCTTCGAACCTTCTATTTCCGCCGGCCGATTGCTTCAACTTCCTCGCTTGCCCCGGCACCAAGGCGGTCCACCTGCATTCCAATCTCGCACACAACACTGGACTCGCCTCAGCTTGTCTCTGCGCGTCCCAGTCGTCACTCGTCCCCGAGACTTCGCGCTGCCTCTCCTTTTTCCATCTTCACTACCAAAACCCCAACTCATCCACACCCTCACTGTATCGTCTGGCTTTTTTTTGGCAACCAGTCTATCAAATCCATCCATTCGTTCAGGTCTCTGGTCTTCATCCTCTCTTTCCTCTCCCTCACTCGTTTTACCTGACCGAGACTTTTTTTTATCTTCCAATCTCTCTACCCTCCCTTGTTCAACAACTTACAAGCAGAAGAAAAAAAGACCAATTGAGGCCGAAAACCGACAATGTTCTGATCGCAAAACAAACTCGCCATTATGTCGGAGACTGGCCGCGGAAGGGCTTCCAATGCCCGGCCGCCCCTCGCAGATGCTACCCAGCGCGTCAACAACACTTCATCCAAAATCCCCGTCGTCAAATCATCAAAGTCACGCGATAAATCTTCGAGCAGAGCCCATCACAACACTATATCCGATGAGCTCCCCATAACCCATGCGCGAGCAGCAGCTTCCGCCGCCAGCTCCCGTAACCCTGTGGCGAGAGCGAGAGCGTCGCAAGACACCGACCCAACGAAGCGGCACTCGCAGGTCTCGCAGGCCTCTACCGCTGCTTCTAGCAAACGAAGCAGCGGCTACTCTTACAAGACACACATCGGACCATGGCTACTCGGCAAGACCCTTGGAAAGGGTTCTTCGGCTCGTGTGAGGCTTTGCAAGCACCGCATTTCTGGCGAATTGGCCGCCGTCAAGATTGTTCCCAAGAAAACCGCCTACCTGATCCAGGCCGGTAGCCTCGCAGAGCTACACGACTATGACGACAGTCTGCCTGAGAGAATCAATGGCGAGATGCGCGTGCCCTTGTCCATTGAGCGCGAAGTGGCCATCTTGAAGCTGGTCGATCACCCCAACGTTATGAAGGTGTATGATATCTGGGAGAATCGCTCAGAAATGTTTGTCTTCCATGTTCTTATGGCTCAATGTGTAAGACTAATGATGTTTTAGTTATCTGGTACTGGAGTATGTCGAACAGGGTGACTTATTCGACTACATCAATACCCATGGCCGCTTCTCGGAGGAAGGCGCCATGTTCGTTTTTCGGCAGATGATGAGCGCGCTGCAATACTGTCATTCCTTCAACATTTGTCACCGTGACCTCAAGCCCGAGAACATCCTCTTGACGGCTGACAACAAGGTTAAGATTGCCGACTTTGGCATGGCTGCCCTGCATCAATCCGCAGATCATCGCCTAGTTACTGCCTGTGGAAGTCCTCACTATGCTGCCCCGGAGCTTCTGAAGCACAAGCATTATCGAGGAGACAAGGCCGACATTTGGTCCTTGGGTATCATTCTCTATGCCCTGCTGGCTGCATGTCTTCCATTCGACGACCCGGACATCGGAGCTCTGTTACAGAAAACCAAGAGGGGAACATACGAGATTCCAGAGTTCTTGAGTCCGGAGGCCAAGGATCTCATTCGGCGTATGCTCATCGCCAATCCTGACACAAGAATCTCCATCAAGGACATGTGGCAGCATCCGCTGATCCGTAAATATGACTACCTGGACAACCTCAGCACCAACGGCCAATCAACGGACCTCCGGAAGAGCTTCCACTACACCCCGTTGAAGCCCCACGAAGTTGACCCTCACCTGGTCAGACAACTTCGGTCCATGTGGCACATGCTCACAGAACACCAGATCAAGTTGAAGCTTATGGATTCCGCGTATGCCATCCCATCACTCATCTCGTCTGAACATTGAACTGACTTCCCTTAGGAAAAACGACCAAAAGCTTTTCTATTGGCTCCTGTATGATTATCGGAAGAAGCAACTAGAAAACTTTCTTCCAGAACTCACCCAGTCTCCGAGCGATTACCATCATCTTCATGAGCCTGTCTGGAAGAAGAGGGTGTCGACGGTCGAGTTCAACCAGCCTCGTGCAGACGGCACTGGCAGAAGTGTTTCTCGTTTCACCGTCATCTCTCATGTCGCAGAGACAGATGACGGAACGGTTCAAAGCTATGATCCCTACAACTCTAGCAAACCGATGCGTGGCCACTCTCAGGCCAGTCATGCCAAGATTGTAGTACACCGCACTCGTCGCGGGTCCATGAAACGAGAGAACACCCATACAAGCCAGCTGTCGCGCATTAAAACTGGCTCAACGGTTCGTCATTCTCGCGTCAACTCTCAGCGTACGGTTGCCTCCCGCTTCCAATCTCCTCGCAACTCCATGACTTCCCTACACAGCAGCAGACAGGGAACGCCTTACGCACGGCCAGCTTCTCGCCACAAGCGCGGTATCGACTTTTCTCACATAAGAAGAAAGTCCAACGAGCACGGCGAAAAGCGGCGTCGGGGAACTCCCCTGACGATTCCCACCGAGGGCGAGGTGAGGGCCAAGTTTCCAACTAGTCCTACGAGCCCCATCAGTCCCGTCAGTCCCGCAAGCCCCCCGAAGCAGGCTTCGGTCATGGACAGGCCCAGACCGAAGCTGAAGATTGTGAAACCTCGGGATCCTGTTCACGTGGTCAACGAAGAAGTGCGAAATTTCAGTAACAGCATTGCCAAAGACTGCGACGAAATCTTCGGGAACTCGATGATCGCCGACGAACATAGCGAGTTGGGTACGGACGATGGTTCAGATGGAAAGCGAGACTCTAGACTTTCGTTCACCATTCCGACTCCGACATCCGCGCAAGCGAATACTCCCTTCCACCCGTGGGATACGCGCCCTCTGCCCCCTCTGCCTCCTCCCAAGAAGCAAGCTCCGCCTATACCTATGACGATGAAGACCGAAAAGGTTCATGATAAGACGAGAGATGGACAGCAGACTGGCCGAGTCGGAAAATTTGTCGATCAAGTCAACCGCCTGGGCTTTCCCTCCTTGATGGCCAAGCAGGACCGGCGTACTGTTTCTGCACCTCCACCCAGTCAAAACGGCATGGCATCCGCCCGTCTTCCAGCAATCAATGAGAATGGACGAGAGTCGGAGTCTTCGTACTATCCGGGGGACAATGATAGAAACCGCATCGTCTCTGCCCCGCCCAAGACCCCAAGCGGCCGGGCCAACGCAGATGGGTTGGAGTATCTTGTGGGACGAGGCGACACTATTCGGGTGGTCAACTCTCCTAGTGCGACGAGTCCCGTTCCCAAGCCGCTCAACGTGCGGAAGAAGACGGCCGATCGCCCAGCTCAAGGTGACCCAGTTGATGAGCGATATGTATACATGCACGGAGCTTCCGGCACAGACGAGCCGCCAACGCCATCGACGGGAACTTACAGCAACGGGCCTGGCAAGCAGAAGAAGTCATTGTGGTTCAAGCGATCCTCGAAGGACAGCACCTCCCAAGAGGGCAGTATCCATACAGTTGCGACCCAAGAGACGCAGGCGTACAGCATGACAAGCCAGTCCACCGACCCTGCTCGATCAGAGATCCAGCCTCATGTTGTACCCCCACCGGTGCCGGCAAAGAAGAAAGGTTTTGGTCTTCTGTTTTGGAAGAGCAACAAGGGCAAATCAGAGAACACGATGGCTATTGCAGGTATATGGTGCTTTTGCCCTAGTTGACTTTGTTTTACTGACGGCTGTTTTCGTAGGCCCGGAATATGACGATTCTCATTCTCCTGAGCCCACTCGAGGTATTGGACACAAGCCGAGCCGAAATTCCGCTAGAAGCTGGAATGGCTCGGAGAGCGGGGTGCGCAACATTGAGGTGCAGCAGAATTGGCTGGCTCGGCTTTTTGGTGTGAAGCCTGCCACAAGCTACGTGTGCCTGGCCATATCGCGCAAGCGAGCTCGCCAGGAAATTGCGATTCTCCTTAAAGACTGGCGACGTTATGGTA